TCTATGATTCTATGATTCTATTCTATATCAGCCTTGAACTTTATAGCTAACTTTTGAGTAAATTGGTTACAGTGCCAATGGCCAAGGCCGTTAAATTTCTGTTGAATTTTGTCATGGTCACTGTAAATTATACCAGCTTCCCAACTTTCTCTTCTGATGGCAAAGAATGTGTATTTTGTGGTGTAAGCAAGGAGTATATTTACATGTCTACAATTGTGGCCTCCAATTTTCATTTTGTTGTGACATAATGAAGTATTTTAAAGAGCATGTCTGGAACTTTATTTACTTGGCAAGAGGTCAGTCTGTTTTAATTTTTTTATCTGTGGAACCAAGTGTTTATCAGGTTTCTGTATGAATCATGCAGTGTGTTAGGGAACATTTTGCACCAGTGTTTTATTTTAGATGTCTTTATAATACAGTTTTGATGTGTTAAATTTTCCAAAGGTATTTTAAGTCCAGGAAAAGGGTTTTTTTTCCCCCAAATTTCCAAATTTAACATGCATATGTTTGTACATATAACTCTGTGTGAGCATGTATCTACCTGTATAAAATCCACTAATTCTGATGTTTTCGTTAACTAAGTAAATGTGAATATTCTGGTGTATTTCAGGTGTTTGGAGGCAGGGTTGCTAATGCTCATACCCTTAGCATGTAAATACTTCAAGAGAATAAAATCTAGGTGATTATATTATTCATGTCTCGATGGGCAGGGAGAAGGTTGAGCGTTCAGTTCACCTCCCCATTCACCGAACAGCAGCAGTGGGGCAGTTGGGAGATTCAGGCTGGTACAGTCAAGGGAACAAAAAAGTTGTTATCTTCAAAGTTGAAAGGGAAAGAATTGCAGATCAGAGTTGTGGATCCTGTTGTTTTGTTCACTACTAGTCATACCCTACTTAGTGCTATAAATGCAGAGAGGACTACTGCCTAAAAAATCTTGATGATGACCCATACAATGCCTTCATTTGAAAGTGGGCTTCTCAGCATTAATCTCCAAGTCACTGTCTTAAGGGTTATATGTAAGCCATCTAGAAATAATAGGGGTGACTCATTCATTTTGATGTGGCTGTGGGTTTTGTGGTCATATACAGGGAAAAACAGAGTGTTCTTGGACATATCCCTGCAGGCAATTTTGCAGACCTCGCTTTGATAGGGACCAACTCTTACTGGACTGTTTTCTTAGGTTTATTCTAATTTAGCCTGTTGAAAAAAGGCATAGAATAACCACAAGTTTTGTATTGGGTAGACATACAATTATGTCTGGTTTTTTTCTTCTTGGTGGGTATTGGTGACATCACTTCAATATGTCTCTGCATGCTATCTCATTTTTGTATGAAATGTTCAGAACTGTAGCAGAAGCTGTACTTTAAAAAAGGAGGAGGAAATTAAATGTGCTAGATTAGACTGATATAATTTTGAGAGTTTTGTTTATGCAGACAAAAACCCAGGAAATTCAAAGCTTGGCCTGAGCTGTAGTCCATCAATCAAACTGTTGTGGAAGAATAACGCTAGTAATCATAGCAAACACAAAAAGATGTGAGATGTAAGAAGAGTGCAAGTCTTAATAATCATGACCCGTAACTATTCTAAATGAATGTTTTTGTATCTAATTTCCTGAGGAAAGTATTAAGGATGATGAATAGGGGAGGAAAGGATTTCATGGAAGTTTAGTTAATTGATGGGGCAACTTTCAAAGCAAAAATAGTTCAACACCCCACAGATTTGACTACTCTCAAAAGCTGAATGGTGTAATTACATATTGTATTCTACAATGTCTCACTTTAATCTTGTACTGATGTTTGTAAAAATATATACAATTACTTTTTAAAGGAGAACTTATAAAAAGGAGTCTTTTTACTTCAGTAAAATCAGTGAAATACTTCAGTCATTTTTGACAGTCATGGGGACTAGAAGCTAATATACTAATACACTACAATGTACTACATATGTACACCCCAGTCACAGTATGACAAATTGCTAGTTTAAAAGAAGATAGTTTACAAACATAATTATGTTCTTGGTGAGGAACAAAGTATCTTTCATTCCTTATGAAATTCTGAAAGAAAAAGATTAAGATCAAATATAATGAACTCGGTCACTTTGTATTTGAAAGTAAGAAAGATTCTGAATTGAATTGGTGTTGCCTTGAAATGGATTATATTTTTTCTGATGTGTGAATTGATTTGTGGGTTAAGCAAGCTACAGGAGCTGATGTTATTAAATTCCAAAGAAGCTGGGAAAAAAGCTTCAAGACAAGAAGGCATTTTCAGGAAACTTTTTACTACCACCAGTCAAACAAATCTTAATAGCATTATGGTATAGTATTCAGTATTTCATTTATAATGCTCTTCTGAATATATTTTATGTTAAGCATAACACTGTTCAGTCCTACAATTAAAGCATAAGGGGAAAGTTGTAATTGGCAGACCAGTTAAGAAAGAAAACTTTAGGCTCTGACCTTGATGTGTCATTTTGTAACAGCCTAAAGAAATTGCTTAATTCTTGTGACCGGGAGCGTTGTGAAGGAGGCTTGTGTACCAACATGCTACAGAAAAGTTTGGGATTCAAAGTATGTCTTTATTTAATGAATGTTACATAATTTTCCATGCAGTTAACAAATTTGATTGTATTGGTTTAGCTGTCTTTATGAGCTGCTCCAAACAGAAGAGGAGGTAATTATAATAATGGAGAAAAAGAGGAAATTAAAAAAAATATTCATAATGTATGTGAAATTTGTTTTTATGCTAATCTATTTTTTTTAACTGGGCTAACTTCCACGTTGTTCTTTTCCTGATAGTCTATTTCTTTTTTTTGTCTCACTTTCTTTGTAGGACTGGCTCATCACATCTGTAATCTCCTAATAGAAACTGTGGCTCTGTACTTGGAGGCGGATGATAAAAGCAGCACCAAGACAGCAAGTGCAGTGCTTCTGTCCTTGCTTGACATTTTGCACTGCATGCTGATGTATACAGCAAACATTGTGCGCCAGACTTTACAGGTATGGAATTTATTTTCTGGGGTTATCACCACCTTAAACAATTTTTTAGATAACCTCCTGTTATCTTAATAATGAAATTCCCACTATTCTGATTTTATTGAATTTTTAGTTCGGTGGAAAGAGCCTGTATTTTCAATTGCATATCACTGTTTCACGTACTTACTTGGCTAGACTATCCATACTTGCCTCACTATATGCTGGAAACACAGATCCTAGCTGACTCTCTTGTTTCTGTACTCCATAAATAGCTTAATTCAATATTTGCTCAATGGTAATTCAAAGCATTTTCCTTCCATTCGTTTTAAAAGAAAACGATTACTCTGTAAAACATGGTATCTTTTTTATTATAAATCACACGTGATCACTGTGCTTGAAAAGCATATGTAACCTTTGAATGTGTGCTGACAAAAGTGTTTCTTCTCTTACACTGATCAGTTTGTCTTCCAAGTTTCTGTTTGAACAACTGCAAATCATGGCATTGGTAGAACTTCCTCCTCCAGTGAAGAATTCCTCCTCCTTAAAAATGGAGCACAAAAAGATACTATGCAAAGAAACTGCACGTAACACTCTTAAAAACAAAACAAGAAAAAGTATTCATCTTTTTTTAGACATGACATTAAGCTAGCAATATTTGCTTTGTTTTTAAACCTGCCAAATTTCTAAGTTAATCAACTGGAAGTAACTTCTGTATTTAGGCTGCAAACAACAACACTTACTCTTCGTGTTAGGGTTTTGATGTTCTTGGGATTATCTTTGAAAGCCTCGGTGGTGTTACTTGCCTTGGCATACTTGTCTTGACAATAACCGTTCACAGGGCCCCTGTGGGTTCTACAGCTGCCTCAGTACACATGCCCTATTGAATGATGGCCATTAGTTGGTGCCTGCTATTTACCATGCATGTACGTAACATTCCACTATTCGTGTGGCACTAAATGCATCACTGTAGTGATAACAAATATTCTTGGACTGTTTTTATAGGGATCTTCTGAATAAGGTACCTTCTAAAGCAGAACTTGAAATAGAGAATCAAATTTTCTCATATTATCCATTTTTGAGGCTTAAGCTGACTTTTATAGATGGTACTACCTCAACTTGAATCCTTTTTATTTAAGCTTTTTATATTTAAAGTGGTTACTTTATCCAGTTGCATAGGCAAAACATGACACCACTTTTCCTTTGCATTTCAGTACTTTATGCTGAATGGTGCTGATAACTGTATCCAGCTTCATTCAAGAGTTTGCTCTCTGTGGTCCAAGTACTTGTGTTTTAAAGGAAATAGTACAAAAGTTCAGATTAATTTGCATATCTGTTTTGGAGCAGTTTCATCATATTGTGTTCCACAGGTGATCCACAGTAGCTGAAAGTAATTTGCAATCTCGATTTGAGAAGTGGACTCTATTTAGTGACTTAATGTAGGTTTAAGCGTGGTGTAGTATATCCTTTATATATATATATAGAAAGTATAATTCCTTTAGTGATATTGTTCATTCTCTTTCCAAAGACACTAAATATATAAAAGTTAAAGAAAGTAGTCAAACATCCCTGATGGAGAATGTCTGTCTTCTCATCCAAACACTAACCAGAAAAAGCTGTTGTAAATTTTGCTGAAGTGAAGGTGGCTTACTTCCCTTTCTTGATTAATATAAACACTCCATTTTTCTGTCTTCTCTGCACTACGTCTTTTTGCTCTTCTTGGACTTCAGCATTCCAGGTCATTGTGGTGAGTCTCAGTGAGGGACGTACCAATGTGTCTTATCACCTGAAGAAACCGCTCTATTTTATTTCAAAATTATTTCCAGAAGAAAGGCATTACCCATTCAACGCATCAATATCAACAGCGGAGCTTCAGCAGTAGTGTCTCTTGTCTCAGGGGACTTGCTCCTGTGTTCACTTAACCAAACGAAAATCCACAAGTAGTACACTTGGATGATGATTTTAGGATTGGGCTTTAAATGAAACACAATACAAAATGATTTTTAAATGTGTTCTTTAGACAAAATATTTACATTTTCCTCTAGCAGCTAGACTGTATAGGGTCATGGTCCAAAGCTGCTGCAAGATAATGAAGTTAAATGAAAAATCTTGCAAGCAGACCTTTCTGGTGTCCTGGAGCAGGGATGGGTCATAAATAGCACTGCCTAGGATGGCAGTGTGTTTTGATGAGGGGGGATGACAATGGTCAGAATTACAAGTAGTAACAGATGATATCACTTAAGGATTTTCTTATTCCTATTTAAAAAATAAATTATTATAATGTATTATGAATATTTCAGGATACAAAGTGAGTCAGAAGGGCAAAATTGGACATTATTGCTGAGAATTCTAACTTTTCAGTTACCCTGATTTTCTTGTTTTGAGTTGCACTTAAAATTGTTCCTGATAAAGGAAAAAAAAAATAATTGAACTTCAATGTTAAAATAGGTATGTCATGTTGAAAGAGAATACAAATACATAAAACATATATGGCTTTAGAGATATCTTTTGCATGTACAATTTATAGCATTTTGCTGAAGAAATGTCATGTAGGTCAGTATATTCGGCCTGTGCAGAATGGGCATGACAGCATGAGTCCCTTTTGCTTTGTGCTTATTGTTACAGACACAGGGAGCATAACTGCTCATTGGGAGCCCAGGAATACTTAACTAGAAAAGAGTGTACAAGTCTCCTTCAAACTTCCGTTAAAACTTCGACCACCTAATGGACCTAATTTGTTTCTCATAACAGAACAGTCACCAAGGCTGCTTTTTACTTTTTCTCATCCTATTAAGGCACAGAAATCTGGCACAGGAGGGGACACGCAGGCTGCTGAAGACCTTCTGCTTATCAATAAACCCCTGTCGGACCTAATTAGCCTGCTTATTCAACTGGTGAGAATTTGCTTGTTTGTAAGCCTTTTGGAATGTTACTGAAATTGGAATTATTCAACTGAATTCAACATCTTAGAATGCTGTTTGCTAGTTTTTCATTCTTTATAAGCTCCCACCTAGTATGAAGGAAGGACTAACAATTTTTAAGAAATTATAGGTCATAGTGACTTGCAGGTTACAAGTGACATTGGAGTAAGTCTGTCCCAAGCATAGAAGTGGGACAAGGGACAGGCTGCAGATTCTCAGTGGGGATACATATGTATAGCCAAATTTTAACCCTTTATAATGGACTAATGATCATTGCATAGGGAAAGGATGGGTATTCAAAATTTGAAACAACAAGTACTGCTACCATTAGAAAAGTCAGTAAATTTAAAATTAGTTTGCAGCAAGTGATGACTTTTAATATTATTTTCCCAGTTTTGAGCCTTCTGAGTTTTTCTGAAGGGTTTAGTTTTATTTTAACATGATGCTGAGGAATTTACGAGTGGGAATTGGTCCCTGGTGATCTGTAAACATCTTTGAAGTCTGCCTGTTTAAAGTCAGTCTTTTCCAGGGTTTACTAGATGTCACAATGCTGCATTGAAATCTTCAAGGAGCGCTATATTGTGGCCCTGACGCATCCCATCAGCTCAACCTCCATCATACTGTGCCAGAGATTTGTCTTGGCTCTGTGTGTAATAGCTTGTAGTAGAGGAATGCTTCTTGAGGCGGACAGGGTTTTTAGAGGCTGCCTCAGCCTTTTATTTAACATAAAGCCATTAAAATGGTATGTGAGAATTTCCCGGTGGCATATCACACTGTCCTTTCCAGGTTATTTCACTTAGAGGCATTTCAGATTCAGTTCTCCTCCAACCTCAATTTTTTTTTTTTTAATTTTTATTTTTTATTTAAATATAGGTTTTCAGATGTATTATGATATGAATACCTGTCACTCTTTTACTATCTTTAGCGCTGTCTGTCATCTTCTATTTTGGGGAAGAGTGTGATTCCTTTTTTATTAATTTTTGGCTTTACGCTTGTTGCTAAGTCCTCTTTTGATGGATTTATTTTAACCAGCTATTGACAAAGGCTTTTTGGAAATGTTCAGTGAATGACCTAAAACAAAGTGACTGAATTTCAACTATATACTATTTCATCTTTATCAATTCTTTTAATTTATTTTCTATTAATTTTTTTAAATCACTATATATGATAAATAGTAAGACATGAAGAGATGCAAATGTTCCTTTAAAGTGAAACTAATCATAAATTTAAATTCCATTAACTCTCTAAAGAACAGAAAATTAGAGGCCAAGCTATACTCAGCATATACCACCTGGAAGTCTTTTATAAGTTTTTAATTAAAGGATAGGATAATTGTATAGTTAGCATGTACTGATTAGATTCTGACTTGCCCTTGTATTTCAAAAGCACGGCTGAAAATTACCACTAGGTTTTGCTTTGTTCTGTATTTCTACAGATTCTGGTGTGTTCAAAGTGCTTATTTAAAATCTGCTGGTTTTAACAAACAGGTAAAGAGTAAAGACCATTGGTGCTGCTTTGTTTTTTTGTTTGTTTTCTGTTTTGAATTTTGTTAAAGATTTTGTAAAAGTGAGGGATTTTCTCTTGTAATGTGTGTGTGTTGTTCTTTACATGCATGTGCTTGATTGGACATATTAAAGTTATTTCGGCTAGGTTTGTTAAATTTTATATCCTTTACCCAATGCTGTATTAAACATTTCCTGTTAAGGTTGAAAGAGTTTCAACAACGGAATAATAATTTTAACATTTAGGATCCACTCGTTTAAAATATTTTATGTTCTAATCTCTTTAAATAGGACTAGATTCTTTGTGTAATCTAGTGGGTTTCTCAAGATGTATACTTCCCTACCCCACAAAAAGACTCAGGCCTACCTAAGCTTAGGTTCTGTGGAGCTGCCAACAGTAGTTCTCTGTATTTATTGAGCTGTGTGGCCATATAACCCTTTATTACTGTTTTGGAGCATTCAGTTCTTTGTGAACTTTATTTTCTGGAGATAATGGAGGTCTTAAATTCTGAACTAACCATCGCTTTAAGATACTGAGTTAAAATTATTTTCTCTGGATCTCTATTTCTACCTATCTTACCATACTTACAGTTTCTTATGTCACTTTGAATAATTGCTTTCCCTCATTTATGCATATATCCCTCAAGGAGATGATTGTTCCATGCCCCATTGACTTGTCTATTTATTTATTTTCCTCAAGTTCTACATGTTTATCTCTCTTAATAATCCCTCAAAAATCAATGTGAGTTAAACTTGAAAATGTCAAAAACTTAGAATCAATTTTTCCCTTCTGTAGTTGTGATTTAGTCTATCACTTAGGGCATAGCAAAGCAAGTGTAGGAAACCTAGGTTGCAAGTAAATGAAACTTCAGAGTTTTTAAGAACGCAAAAGAAGAAATAATTGCAAATTCTGTCATGCAGAAAACACTGCAAGTATGGAGAATTCAGTATTTAATCCCGTGATCAGTTTGCCCTTAATTGATCAATAAGAGGAAAATAAATTGAGCATTTAGTTTTCTGCTTGTCAGCTTTGTGTTTAGAAGTTAATTACACTTAGCTTTTTTGTGCAGTGTTTCTCTGCTTGAACATAGATGTAATTTGATTATTATACTGAAACTTGCAGCAATTATAGAAGATATAAAATACCTTCTGCTTTTTGATGTACTGTTATACTGAAAAAAAAATTGAATGTTTACTTACTTTTTAAATCACTTCAGTGTGGATTTTCAGAAACTTTCAGAAACCTTGCCAGTACCTATAAAAAGGAGTTTCATTTCTCTGTAGATCCTAGATTTAGATCCTAGATGTAGATCTTCTAGTCTTTTCTGCAGCCTACCAGACTGCTGGGAGAGAACTTTTCTTGTCTTCTGGTGATAGGCTTCTTCATTACAGTATTACTAGTAAAATTTGCAGTTGGTTACTGTGCTCTGTATATTACTGTTGAAAGACCAGTTAATCATGTGCAGACATGAAGAGGGCAAATATGAAGCCTCAGTGCACATGGATGAATGAGATGATCTCCTCTAGGTCCTTTCTGTCTCTACATTGCACTGGCTCTGAGGCGGTGCCCTGACTTTGGTTTCAGAGCATGTGAAGGTATTTGCCAATGAATAATGAAAATGTCTGCAGAAGAATGATAACCCTGTAGACTGTAGAATTTTATTTCACATTTCTTAGGAATACAGACAGTTCTGTGGTCAGAGTGGAAACACATACGTTTATTTCCTGTATTGTATAATGTATTGCTGTTATTGTATTTGAAATGTTATCTGCGAATTATATTTGAAGAATTCTCTTCTACAAGAGCTACCCTAAAAAACAAAAACCAACCAACCAAACAAAACCACAAAAAAAACCCCAAACAAAAACACACCAGGGGAAATTAGAATATATTGTCACAAGCACAGAATTTCAGGATGGGGATTTAGTTTCGCAGCAATTAGGCTAGATTAAAAATATATTGGTCTTTGAAATATTTTTCCTTAGGTAGGAGGAGGACGACAATTTTGCCCTAAGCCAAAATATAAGATTTTTTTTTTTTAATTTAAAACCGTGCATATTTACTAATAAGACTAGCATAGTAAAGTTAGCAGATTTAATAATGATGTTTTGCTTTTACATTTTGTTTAATGTTTGCAAAATTATCTTCCCTATAGTTCCCAATGGTGCTTCCTTTACAGTGCATTCTGTAATCACATTACTGATCTAATGAACATATCTCTTACTGTAATAAACTCTCTTTGTGTATAACCTCATTAATGCACTGAAATAGTGTCCCCTCTGGGTAATCCAGACAGTTTCATTGTAGCTCTAAAATTAGATGCTGTAACAACTCCAATGGTGTGAAAACTGCCACTTCAGCTCAAATGATCACACGTTTCTTGCAATGGTTTGCAATTCATGAACACACTGCAACTTGGTTCAAAATGAAGACATTTTTGACAACAGACTGCAGAAATATAGATCTGTAATAACAAGAAACTTCCTGCTCTTCACCACATTAACCTTAAAATACACAGAGCAGGTTCCATCTAAAAAGGAAGAGAAGTAGAATTTTATGTTATGAGCCTGTTAACAGGAGGTTATAACATGGCCATAAAAGTTAAGTAAAAAGTAACATAGACTTCATTTCACAGAAGTCTTGTCATGAGGCATTATTTTAAGATTTTTAAGTGAAAAATAAATCTACAGTTCTGAGTTAGAGAATGGCAAAAAATGTGACTTTAGCTGTTCAGTAATTTAATTTAAGGTGCTGGATTTTCTTCGAACTATACACTAGCCTAGAATATTAACAGCTGCGAGGAGAAGGAGTACTAATGTTTTTACCTTGCTGAAGGGCTGAATCCATAATCACCTCTAATACTGATGAAGCAAAAAGAAACAAAAGGCCACTGGAGTTTTTTCATGTAATTATGAAATATTAAGGGGCAGATATTTTTTTAAAGAGTTAGAACTCTAGTTTTTCATGGGTTTTCTCCTCCCCTGAAAGCACAAAAGCTTAAGTAGCTGCTGTCATGAAAAACTATAAATGCATTTCAAAGACTTGAAATCATAGAATCATAGAATAGTTTGGGTTGGAAGGGACTTTTAAAGGTCATCTAGTCCAACCCCCCTGCCGTGGACAGGAACATCTTCAACTAGATCAGGTTGCTCAGAGCCCTGTCCAACTTGACCTTGAATGTTTCCAGGGATGGGGTATCTACCTTTGATCTATTTTTTCATATCAAACGGAATTGTTATGATTAGAAAAATAATCAGAACACTGTTCCAGCTGATTAAGAGATGAACCATCTATCTATATTCATTGTCTAGCAACACGATTCTAGCTTTGCTGTTCTTATTAGACATGAGATACTATTTACTTGAACGCTGAATTTTCATTCCTTGGTTTTCTGTATTTACAGATATTTATTATATTTTCAGTCATTGCTTTTGTTCATACCAATAATTTTCTTCAGATCCTCTACTCTTTATAACCATTAATGAAAGCACTAATACTGACTGGCAGCCATTGTTAGATTTCAGGTTACCGACTTACGACTTTTGACATCTAAATCACTACTCATCAGTAGTGAAACAGTAAAATGGTGAGAGTTATAGAGAAAAATGCTGATGCAGACATACTTAAATAGGGACATTGCTGAGAGTTCCTCTTCCACCTTAATTATTGATTGGTTAGACCATAGGCCAATGATTCTCATCCCCTTCAGCATAAATATGGTATTTCCTATTCCCAGCTTGTTTTCCTATTCATCCAAAGCCTATGCTGTTACTGTTATACCCTGCAATTTTCCAGGCTGACAGCAACTTGCTCCCCCAAACTCTAGATAGCAATGAAGCTCAAGCGAACTCTGGTGAAGCAGAGGAGCAGAAGAACCTGAAGTACAACAGGCGATGAAGGACTTCGTGGGCATTTGTGATTGAATGGGATGATGTCGTGGCTGGCAAGTACTGTGAACCCTGGAGTGATACTGGTGGCTAGGTTTGGAGGATGGTCACTGACAGCTGATAGCCTGTGAAGAGCAAGCCTATCTGATGCCGAGACATACTGGATGGAGAGATTCAGGGTCTTCCTTTCTCTTGTGGAGGGACAAAGAACAGCAGCAACACTGTTAAAAGACTGGGCATGCCATTGGCCCAAGCCCAGCTCCTTCTCACCTAGGGCGAAATGTTGCACTGCCTCACTAACTGGGGACTCCTGCTGAAAATAACGCTAACAGGCTGGACTTGCTCATTTGCTTCCTTGAAAGTCATGTACCCTCCTCGTGTCAGGAAGAACTGCAAAGGACATGGTGCTTTACGTATTTCTTCACTCAAGGTTGTTGTAGGGACAGTCCTCTACAGAGACTGACACCTTTCCACTCCTCTGATATTTAGTGAATATCTCAGAGAAAGACCTTGGGAACAGTCTCATTAACAGGCTGGACTTGCTCATTTGCTTCCTTGAAAGTCATGTACCCTCCTCGTGTCAGGAAGAACTGCAAAGGACATGGTGCTTTACGTATTTCTTCACTCAAGGTTGTTGTAGGGACAGTCCTCTACAGAGACTGACACCTTTCCACTCCTCTGATATTTAGTGAATATCTCAGAGAAAGACCTTGGGAACAGTCTCATTTCCAAGTATGGCTGTTGTGATTATTGATTACACATGGGATTTTGTGCTTAGGGAGCGCAGGAAACTAGCTTCCGCTGCAATACCAGGGCAAGGATGTATCTGTCCAAATATTCACTGATTTTTTTTATTTTTTTATGTTTGGTTAGCCCACAAACAACATTTGAAAATTGAATATAGTTCTTGTACTGTGATTTTCTTCAGGGAGTGGTTGATATACCTGTCTACACTGATGTAGTAACAAACTGTAAGTTAGAGTGCTGCTTTTAAAAGGGATAAGAGAGATAAGTTAAAATAGTTTAATTTTTCCTTCCTTTATCTAATAGCATTTTTTTTCAGTGAAGAAAATACAAGTCGGCTCAAAGCCCCCAGTTGATATCAGTGGAATTTTTTTTTACTTGATAAGGGTTGAAGATATAAATGGAGCTATAAAGCTTGTTACTATTTGTAGCTTTTCCTCCTTTTTAGCCTTGCTATTTGTGTTGATGATGTTATTAGAGAATTCTGGATGTTGGAAAGGAAACAATCAAATAGGTGGCATTTAGACTGGAATGAAGAAAAACCATACAGCAAAACTGTGGAAGAAATAGCTGCAGTGGTCCCTGTCACTTGCATAGCATTAGGTCAAATAGACCGTGATATGTCTTGGGGCTATGTATTCAGAGCTTACATCTCAGTTCAGTCTGTTTTAAACAGCCAGCTCTATGAAGCTAATGGAAAACAGGATTGTATTTGCATACAGATCTCTGGGGAACTGCTTCTTGAATATTTAAGGAGCATATGTCTGATAATATGTTCCCAGATTGCTTTAAAGTAACTGATGGGTTTTCCTTAAAATGAAAAAACTTGGGAAGTTCATACTGCAGATTAAATAAGTAATCATTATTGAAATGGTTATGGGCATATTATATAAATGGTTGGTCAGATTATATAAATTGTTTCTTTTTTATGGTCAGTAAGGGTAGTCTGTTAACTGTACTTTAATCTAGCTTCTTTGTATTTAAACAGTATTTTTGTAATTAAAAAAATGAGTAGGAGTGATGAAGTGTTGTTACACTTCTGTACCTTATTGGTTAAGACCACCATGGTATATTTTGTTCAGTTCATAGATTGTAAGGCCAGAAAAGGCTATTGTAATCATTTAGTCTAAGATCTTGTATAACACAAGACATAGGACTTTCGTAAATTAATTCCTCATTACAGTGAAGGGTTTTGTTATTTTTGTAGGGGGAAAAAAAAAAATATAAATTGCCTGTGATGGAGAATCTGTTTCAGTTCTAAGAAAGTTGTTTCAGCGGTTAATTGCTCTCATTAAAGAAAGAAAGAAAAAGAAATCAAACTATTATCTTCCTTCTAATCTGAATTGCTTTATCTAAAGTTTTGAGCTATCGTCTCTTACCCATCCTTTTTCAAGTAAAGGAATTAACCTATCCTCAGGCTGCTTTTTCTCACGTGTAACCAAGAGAATGTGATCAAGTGCCCTTTAAATCCTCATTTTGATAAGCTATAGACATTGAATTCCTTCAGTCCTTTGCTGTTATGTTTTCCAATCTGTCATTCTCTTGCCTGTTCCCAAGAAACATCTATGATTTTTCTAACTAGTTTTCATGAACTGTCTGCGCTAAAACTAGGCATTGTGTTCCTGTTGTCATTCCAACAGTGCCAAATACAAACATAATACAATATCTCTACTCGTTATTTCCAGATTGTACTTTCAAGAAAGATATAAATCATTTTGATAGCAGTGTCATACTACCAGAAGCTCATTTAAAGATGATTACTAGCCATCCCCCAAATTTTTTCCATCATTTTGCTTCCCAGGAAAGAGTTTTTCCATCCCATTGCTAGGGCCTGCTCCAGTGTCTGCTCTTCAAAGGAGTGCAGAAAAGCTGGAATTCAGGAAAATATTTAAAATCTGCAAAACGTACCTCCTAATGTGACTACTTAAAATCCATTAAATAGCTAGATAGCCTGTACTCTACCTCAACCAGAAGCCATAGACTTGATTTAGAAATAATTAAATGAAGTTTTATGGTGTGCATTATGTCGAAGATTAGACATCATGGCTATAATGATGCTTTCTGCTATTACTACTTCTATTTAAAGCAAAATATACTGTCTGAAAATAACAGAGTTGGGAGCAACATTTTCAGTGCTTTTATGATGTTGCTATAGATAGGCTATTTGATAGAATCATAGTGGAGACATCGTTATACTGCTGCTTAAGAACAGATATTTTACTTATATTTTCATCACTTTATTAAGCTTAGTTTAATGGAATTTTGAGTCAGTCAACTAGAAATGATTCTTTCCTAGCACAATGCAAATGTTAATACTCTTCCAAATCCCCAGTGATATGCAATTTTTCTGAAACTGGAATATGATTTTTGTTTGTTCATTTTTTGTTCCTTTTTAGCTTCCCAGTGAAGATACTGAAATATTTGAGAGTGCCTCACAGTGCTTATCATTGCTGGTTCAGCTGTATGGAGGGAACAGTCAGGAGAGTATGTCTCCAGAAAACATGGACAGCTTTGCTGAAGTACTGAAGTCCAAAAAAGATACACGACAATTGAAGCTTTTGTTGAGAATTATAAAAAGACTGGTGAGTTGGCTTCTAAACATTTTAAAAGTCCATGTGTTTCTTTTCTATCATTGGATAATTTTTTGGCTGTTTTTCCTCTTAAAGTAAAAAGGAGTATAAAAGAATTTTGAAAACAAAATTTCACGTCTCTAAATTTCAGTTAACTTCTCTGGAGAAGATAGCCTTCTACACTTAAAACCTCTTACAAAATGATTGTTGGTTTTCTCCTATTTTGGTTAACCATTCAGCTATTTAAATAACTCATTTATGTATTTGTTTAGTACTTCAGCTTTATGAAGTATTGGAACAATTTTCTGAATGCCTTCTGAAAGAACTAACCTTGTAGCATTAAACAGCTATTCAGAAACACAGTGCTTGTTTTCATGGTAAATAAAATGCCTTTTTGTACTTGAAATAGGTTTGTGCGTAGACTGTTGACTCCTCATTCTCACTGAGCGATAGGGACCACTTCTGCTGGAGTGGTTGTAATGTAGAATGCCAATCTGAGTATTGCGCAGGGGCTTAATTTGGTGATGTTATTGACAGGTAGGGGTTTCAATTCTGTCGTGCTCTGACATGGTGGCACGATAGCAGTGTTGTGTCTTTCAAGTAGCTTAGGTGGAAAACCTTCTGTATCTGTAACATTCTCTCAGATAATAGTAAGTTTTTTATCTTGAAGTGTCTTGATAAGAAGCTTTGCCTTCATTGTCACCTTGCATTGGTTGATTACTTCACCCTTTACTCTCCAAGTGCAGGAGTTTTCAATTAAAAGAGGGTAACTTCCCCAGTGTAAGAGGCAGAAGACAAGTGAATTTTGCAAGTGCAGTGCTGGCTGCTAGAGTAAGGCCATAATCAATGGCAGCAGGAGTCATCCTACTTTCGGAGTTAAGAGGAAGCAACCCTTTTTGTAGAGCTTTTGGAGCTGTTCTTGTCCTCTTTCTCCTGCCTGCTGTATTTACATAACAGGAAAGTAAACACTATACCCTTCTTTCCAGTTTTGCTCAGTCCTATCTCTCCCTAAAAGAAGCATTAATATATAAAATTAAAATTTAAAATTAATAATTTCTCTCATTCTTAACATCATCTCAGGTTTCACTACTTTATTTTCTGATGCTTTTCCTGAAAAGAGAATTCTAGCAAAGATTTTTTTTAAAGACATTTCCTGTTGATTTTTTCTTGTACCTGTGCTTCTCCTTCTGTGTAATTGTTGCACTGCGTAGAACTGGTTTTTGCTTTTCCTCAAAAGCAATAAGAGAAAAGAGGCAACAAAGTGTGAGGAAAGGAAAGAGAAATAAGGCTGCAATATACATATCTAGATTATTTGATTTTAGCATAACTACAGACTTGTTTCCTTTCCCTCCATTTTGAAGACTATCGTTCGAAAGTTGACCTAGCATGCAGCATATTTAACACAGAAACTTCTGTTGATTACCTGAAGAGAACAAAGCTATGCTATCACCTTTTAAATCTTGCAAGTTCCTGTACTTTAGATCTCTCCTTTGTATACCAGTGATACTGATACTTGTTATTTATAATATCGGGCATAGATTTTCTGTAATTATTTTAATGAGATCATAGGATTTCTTTTGAAAGCAGGGTTCATAGATAATTTGACAGATTATTTAATAAATCTTACATTATTTCTCTAAACCTTAAAAAGCCCTGTTCAGAGGAGATTATTATCTTGTCAAAATTGTCTTAATCACAAAAGACATTGAAATATAATCATATCTATTTAAGAAGGATTCAGCCCACATCAACTGTTCATACTGAATTTTGAAGCCTAGAGCAGTGTGTTTAATATTTTTTTTTTTAACATCTGAGCAATATTGTAATAGAGGGATCATTAAGTGCACCAATTTCCATTCTTGTCCATCAGTGCTTGTACAGAGCATCTTTCCAACCTGTGGTCACATTAACTTTCTTGTTACAGGCACAGGTATTGCTTACATAAGACAGGAATATACAAAAAGAATTCAATGTGTTTATGCTATAGCTGCTTTTATAGCATGTATTCCTGGAAATAAGGAAAAGGTACAGCAGTATGAGTAGTTAATCTTTGTCCAAGTGTTTCATATGACTCCAGTGAGCCGATGGAGACAGGTGTCTTAATTTCAGTCTTCAGTTTAAAGCATGTCACAGAATTTGTTGACGTACAAGATGACCTTACCTTGATGAAATGGAAGCTTAAATCTATGTCTTGTTTTAATTTAATAGTATTCATTCATTAACTTTTATCTCCAGTGGTTGGAGGGGGTTTTTTGGACAAAGTTGGTTTGTTTTGGAGGTTTCTTCTGAGATTTTTTTGGTTTGTTTTGTTTTGGGGGTTTGTTTGTTCGTTTTTTGGGGTTTTTTTTGGTTTTTTGGTTTTTTTAAATAGTCATTTTTCATTGTCAACTTTGACCAGCAAATTGACTGCAGGGCAATATAAACTTCTTGCCACACTTTCTTCACTGATTTTTTCCTACAATTTTGTTGTATTCATTTATTAAACAGAAATAAAGATATAGGCCAGACTGGGGGAAAAAAATCTCTTCATACAGACTTATTAATGGAATCACCATGATCAGCCCTTTCTACAGGCTTTATTTTGCTGTAAAAAGAAATCACTAGGAGTGAAAACCAGAAAAAATGTTCTGAGCTACCTTTGTAAGTGTGTAAGTAAGGATCATTTAAAAGCTTTAAAGAGGCAGCACGACTGTCTTCTTTCGGGTTTTTTTTATAATCACCTCTTAGCTTTCAATGCTTTTGGCTCTGTCAGGCCCAGGTTAACCAGTCTTTTTCAAGAATGTTCTCTCACTGGCATTGATGTAATGGACAGAAATGAATAAAATTATTGAATCAAAGAAACAGGGTTTGGTGGTCTTGGGTTTTTTCCCTTTCAGCCCTTTTACTAACTCTCTTGTTCTGGTTGCTTCATCTTGGGTTAGACAATACTGCTATTCAGATATTCTTCATCTTTTTTAGCAGCATTTGTGTAACCGATCAGTGACGTCGGGGCAGTGATCTTGTCCCATTGTTTGGTTCCGGAAGCCTCTCCTGACACCCTTTATGGAAATCACCATCTTATCATTTCATCTCTTCTGTGAAGATATAGTGCATCTTATTACAGTCCAGTAAATCACCTAGATTAAAGTATTTCTTTGTGAAGTGGAAGAAATTTTAATTTGAGAAGTAAATAGTTCAATTTTTGCCTGCTTTACTGAGAAGTTTTTCATTTCTCTTTTTCCCCAGAGGGAAAAATCTACCTGCCATCTCAATTTACCATCTAGTATGTAATGTAAAGGCAAGCAATTATCACCAGAATTTTTATAGAACTAGCCAATATATCCACCGGACGCATAATCAGTGTGGGATTACAGCTCGGTACCAACAAATAAAATGTTTCAGCTTTCAAAACAAGAGAAGACTCTTTTTATTCCCTCTAGTAATAAGGAAAAAATTCCTCTGAGGAAAATGAATAAGCATCAGGCTTTAAAGGCAATTCTGCACTCACTGTGGAGAGTGAACTTTTTTCCTGTGACTTTTACATTAAGAACTTGTCAGAAAGTATATTTGAATTGTACCTAAATCACACTTTTTTTTTTTCTTCTGATCGTCTTTCTAGAACCTCATTTTCACTAATTTGTGTATCTTAACTGTCAAAAAGTTTTTCATCTTTTACTTGTGAGCAGCTATGACATTTAGGATGTCATCTGCATGTCAGGTACCCTGTGGGGGATACATATAAGGATTTCTCAAATTGTATTAGGCTGCATAGTAAAGATGTTAAGGCTAGAATGATGATACTTGAACTGTGGCAAAGGTCCATAACTTTCATTAATTTCATTGTAGGACTGTTGAACACTAATTTGCTGTCCCTGGGCCACAGCTACAGCATCACTGTGTACCTGCAGGCAGATTCACTATCCTGTTTCCAATGAACCAGAGCCTGGGGAACCACTGGTCACTATGTCTAAAATATCATTCAAGTCATGTGTCCCTAAGTATTTCTGTCATGTAGATTAGTAACTATATCATCCTGAGTTTTATACAGAGATGTGCTGAGTTCACATCTTTTGAATTGACAGTTGTGTGTTTGTATATTAAAATATACATATATATTTTTTCTCTCATAGTTCCCAGATTAGGTCCTCATTATATTAGTCACTGATCACGCATTATGGGGAAAGACATTTAGATCTTGAAGAGATACACAGTCCAGGCAGCACAAATGTTTCATTTAGGGTCGCAGTTCTGCAATCCCTCTCTAAGTCTTGCTGGAGATTTGCTCCTCAGTGGATTCCTGCAAGTACGTCTGCAGGGAGCTTGCCTTAAAGAAGGTGAAGCAAAATCTCAGGAGATTTTCAGATAGCATCCCATTTATGGCTTCAGCTCTGAGGATTCAGCACCACAAGGAGGTGCTTGTGCAGCAATTCCCAGTGGAGTCTGCTTTCCCAGAGTCTCACAAAGCTGCGGGAACCTCTTGGCGTATCTCCTGCCAAGAGAGCACAGCACTCTCAAATAGGATCAGTTAGCTGAAGAAAAACTTCTTATGCATCTTTCTCCTAACCTGAATCTTTTAAGTATGCCTTTAATTAATTTCATTAATTACTAAGGCAATCCATAATCCATTGCTCTAAGGACTGACTTTATAACAGAGATGCTTGTTAGACTGAATACAATACTCATTTGTGGGTTGCTGACATGCATAGGTATACTCACTATAAATGCACGTGTTGTTATATATGTTTTCCTTAAATTACATATCTTTTTAAAATCTGGATGACTCTTATATGAACAATTTGTGTCCTTCATTACTATTAGTCTCTTATTTTCAAGTTGTTACCAAGCCTGCGTCCCTTCTTTATAGACCATCTTTTGTTGGCTTCAGTCTAATAGAATAATGTCCCTGGGTAGGATGGAGCATTTCATTAGACACAAACAACTTAAGATCCCCCCAAGAAGAAAAAGCTAATCAGCATTAAGATACATTATGCAGATCATAAACAGGATGGGTTTCTCAAAATGCTTTGAAGCAA